TCCACTACCACCAAGGCACCATCGGTGACACGGAGGGCAGCTGTCACCTCTGAGGAGAAGTCTACGTGCCCAGGGGAGTCAATGAGGTTGATAAGGAAACCAGAGCCATCCTTGCTTTGCTTGATGAAGTTCAAGTCATTCTCCGAGAGCTCGTAGAAGAGGGAGATGGCCCTAAGGGAATTAAGACAGGTTGGCTGGATGGAAAACATACCTCAGCCTAGCTCTCAACTGTCCTCCCCAGGATTCCCAGACTTAGCCTGAGGTTCCTGCCCAAAGTAAGTCAGGAAAGATGCCTTTATCCCTCAGGGAAGCTGTGATGCAGTAAAAAGCCAAGCTCACAGCTTGAGTGTGGACACTGCAGTATTTTCTCTTCCTGGATTACTCATCCCTAGGAACAGACTTCAGATTTCCCAAGAGCCATCCCACCCAGGGGACTCTGTCCACCTCCCAAATACCAACTGCAAACACCAGCTCCTCACAGCCCCACCCATCCAGCCACTCAGGCTCAACACACCTGTTTCCAAATAGCAACTCATGACCAGGCAAGTCCCAGAATTCCCCAAGACTACTTGTGTACACCCTTTCGTCCCTCTCCAGCCCTACTGAAATGTCTCAGAACACATGACCAAAAAGCAGCTCACAAATTCCCAACTGAAGGTAATTAACAATTTTAGTCACTTTGGTTTCTCACCCCATTGACATCTGGGATCAGGAAACTTATGGGGTGAGGAGGGGAGAACCGTGTGCACGTTTAGTGGTATCCTTAGATGCCAGTGGCATCTTCCCAGAGGTCTCCAGACATTGCCAAGAGCCCCTTTGCCCCAGGAAGGGGGAATCGCTGGGTTAAGCCTAATACCTCCCAGCACTGTGCCTCTCCTACTAGCTGCAAAGCTTCCTGTCTCACTAGATTAAACCTCATTCTCTCTCACAGTTCAAAAATCCAGCTCTAGGGCGCTGTGCCCCAGAACCTTCTCAGGAAACTGATTGTGTCCGCTGTTACGTCTCCACAGCCGGCTCCAGGAGAGAACCTCCCTTCCCCAGTCCAGAGGGCACCAGAGCTTGCTCACGTTGATTTGATGGTGATGCAACGCTCCTGCTCATCCTTCCGAGTGTCAGTAAAGCGGGTCTCTCCAGCTCGAGCGGAGGCGATGATACCAGCCTTACACACCAGGGAGTCTGTCAGCGTGGACTTGCCATGGTCCACATGGGCGATGACAGACATGTTCCGGATGTTGGCCTTCTTGTCCATGATGGCCCGGATCTGGTCTACTGTGAAGTTCACCTGGGCCAGAGGAAGGAGGCGGCTCAGACCGGTTCAGAATTCCAGGAACCCGGCTTGGCACCAGACTTCAATCAATAGACTGCCAAGCCCACAGCCAGGAGTGGGCTAATCCTGGGGCAGTACCAACTCCCACCTAAAGCCCCCAAGTCTTGTTTGCTGATACCCCTTTAAAAATGCAACTCGCCCTATCTCTAAAAACCCGGATTCTAGTTGTCATTTACAAGTGATAACCCAGAATCTGGGACTGGGGAGTAAGTCTCCAAGAACGACAAACGACTTCCTTTAGATTAGGTATATACATGTTAAGGGTATCCAACTTTAAAATGTTAATATCAAGTTCCCCCAAACGCCCTCCATATTGCCACTGGAATATACCCCCATGCTTTCCCCAACCAAACAGCCTCTTTAAAACCCAAGGTCATCCCTTTACTTGGACAATCAGACAAGGCTACCCACTTCATAAGATTCCTAAATATGTCACAACCGGCCTGGTGGGGAGCTTGCGCACTGCAAGCCTCCACACCTCGTGGTTCCAAAGCCGGCTTTTCTCTCACAATTTGGAGGTACAGAAAGGACAAGAGACCAGGCCAAGGTTACACAGCGTTAGGAACAAGTGGATGTGCTTTTTGGGTCTGACTTCCCCATTTTGCCATTTCCCTGCCGTCCACGGCCCCCGACAGACAACAAAATTCCAAGTACCGGCTAGCAGGTTACATAAGACAGCTCCCCCGCTCCCCGCTGCCATCGCGGCGCCCGCCATTACAGCATCTGCCACATCATCATACCCCCCCCACCCCGCCTCTCCTTCGCTCCAGCCAGGCTCCGGGTTCCGCGACGCGGCGGGGCCCCCGGAAGCGGAGAAAGAGCTCGACCCGGCTGCACGGCGCAGACATGGCGGCCGCCGCTTCCCCGGAGCAGCCAGCCTCGCCGCCATGTCTCCTCCGTGTCCAGGTAGCCCCAGCACTGCAGGTCCTACAGCGCCGGCCCCGCAGAGGCCCCGCCACCGTTCCAGGCCGCCAGCCGAACGGTGTTGCTCACCATGGTGGCGGATGGCGGTGGATTCTCCCAGGCAGATCCGAGCAAGGTAGGTCCCGCCGAGGATGGCGGCGACGAGGGCGGAAGAGATCGCTGACGTCAACACCCGACTTTTTATAGGGCGACGCCGGTTGGGCGTATCATCTGACCCAGTTGCGGAGGCGGGGCCAAGCAACGCCGCACGCAGGCGCGTGGATGCGCTTTCTCGGTTAACCCATTAAGCACCGGGCAACTGCTCTAGGATACAGGATCTGCTTTCTGCGCCTGATTTCCCGGGGGCTGTGGTCTCCCCGGAGCTGGGTGCATGCCTCCGAGATTCAATACTCAGGTGCACAAACCGAAGAGCGCTGTTTTAGCTGAGAATATTAATCATGCCAAATATATTAGCTGGAAAAATACCAAACACTTCCATTAAAATCACATTAAATTGTGAATTGTATCAATTTCCTGGTTTTGATATGATGATGATACCACTGGGAGAAGCTGGGGGAAGAGTACTCGGGACCTCTCTGTAATATATATATATATATATATATATATATATATATATATATATTCTTTTTTTTAAGATTTTTTACTGGAGAATTGAGGGATGGGAACAGTGCTGGGGAATTGGGGGAAGGGGAACAGACAAGTTGCTGTCGTTTTGTTCTTCAGTCTAGTTGTGGAGGACGTTGCTTNCCTTCAGAAGCGGTTTGCCTTCCTTGTCCTTATCTTCACTGTCCAACTTGATGTCCAGTTTTTCAATCAGTTTTGCTGTCTCCTCTTTCTTGAAAGTCATGATTGCATCAAACACCTAAAACGGGGGAGGGGTAGAGCAGGTAGCAAAGTGGATTTGGGAACATACTGGGAAGCTTGTAGCTGCTTCCTGCTAAGCAAACTAAGGCCACTGACAGCAGGGGCAGGGCTGCAAAAATCCTCACCTTACCACAAAGGACCTGACACCGACTGAGCATATCTTGGGGAAACCCTCCAGTATGAGGGAGGCCCATCACACCTATTGTGTGGTCTTGCCTAGCTTGTCAGGGTGAGCCCTGGGCACCGTAAACCCTCACCATGGTGCTGCCTCACCCTCCCGCTGGCAGCCACCTCGAACCTGGCCCTGCACAGCCCCAATGTATCTTGCCACATACGAACATATAAGATAATGGATCTTCCAGGAGCTGCTGGGACCAAAGGCAGCCCCATGGATGCACATCCGTCACGCGTACACAACTCACCTTGAAGATGGGGTCCAGAATAAGCTGGCAGAATGTCCGCGGCAGCTTCTTGCCATCGGGACTATTGGCGGACTTGCTGAATTTGCCGTTGGCTGGATCAAAATACCTGGCAGAATGGCCCAATGAGGTTGAGGTTGGAGGTGGGGGGTGGGGGCAGGTGGAACAAGGTTGAACAGGAGCCCCGATATTTGGCCCTGAGCCACACCATCACCACCCTGCAAGTTTATTACAAAATGCCCCGCTCTTCCCCCACAGAACTCACCGGTCGCCCCACAGCTTCTTCATCATATCCTCTACTTTCTTGGCCCGCTCAGCAGGCCCCAGCTGGCCCTCGCCCTTGGCAGCAAACTTGGCCACGTACATCTCTGCAAACTGCTTAAGGGTGAAGGCCCAACCGTGGAGACCAGAACCGAAGCCAACAGTGCCAAGAACAGGATCAATC